ACGCATTTCTCAGATATTTTTCGCAGTTCACCTTGGATATTTCCTAATAAACGACGGCTATTTTGTTAAGAAATTGCCGTATTTATATCCTCGTTATCTTTCATGGCCGATCTCCATTTTCCCGCTTCGCGTCTGCTTCTGAAATCAGTGGCCCTTTGTTACTCTAGATAAACCCTAATTTATCTGAAGAATCGAGAAATACATAGTAGAGAATTTAAGCATTTGGAAACCCTAATTACTCGTTCTGAAGAGTTCGGAGAAACCCTAGTTACTGGTTCCAAAGAACCATTTAACCATGGAAGCTGGCGCTTGCTTCGCACTATCAACACAGGTTCCGCGTTACGTTTCTTCACATTGGAGAGGGCCTTCTTTCTCCCAATTTCATTATTCTAATTTATGGAGTAAGAAGAATAAAAATGGAGTTTGTTACGGAGAGAGTTGCTTGCGAGAAATTTATTCGCCCATTTATACAAGTTTCAAAGGTAATTCGCCTTAATTTTTTGCCTATTTATTGCCATAGCCATTAATCTTTTGTAGTTCGGATATATGTGCAGCTTCTATTGGTTGGGCATGTTTAATTATCAATAATTTTGTTTTTTCTTTTGTGGTTCTGATGTTTCTAAAGCTAGAAGTTTAGTCCTGAACCAAATATAGGCTACTCTAAGGAAAATTTGAAGTTTTGATTTTGGTTTGATGCATAAGAAATTACAGGTTCAATGGAATTAAATAACCAATGTCTATGAATGTGTTTGCTTCATATTTTAGTTCGTCTGCAATCGCCTTTCCTGTATATTTAAGCTTCAGCAAGTTTTGGAATCATTATTTGCGAATTCTGATAAATTTCAGCTAAAATCAGTGAAGAGCAAAAGAATATTCGGAATATTTGCTATGGGGGAATGAAGCTCAAATGGAATGGGCAGGACTTGTCCTCTGAAATGACCTAACTTGGGGACATTCTTGAGCAAAATGCAACCAAAATTCATAAATCATAAATTCTTAATACAAAGTGAGGAAAGTTCATGCTTGTCTATTATTTATTTGTTAACAAATTTACTTGATATTGGTATAGCCTATGCAAAATTTTGGATTGAAGACTTGACTGGTTGCTGAATTGGGGTGGAAAAGGATCGGAATTTGAGCTGAAACTCATTAAAAAATAAATAAAAATCAATTTCACTGAGATCGGGGGTATAATGCCTTTATTGGGTGTTTGGTCACCGTACACCATTTTGACCAAAACCCAATCTTTGGAACTTCTGTTGTGCCTGCCAGACCACTTATTAAGAAAAATCTGGACTTGATCTCTTGAGCTGTTAGTTCACTACTTGAATAAATGCTGAAAATTTTTCTTTCATTACTTTTTAAATTACTCATTTATCTGTCTGAACTTGTCTTTTACACAGTTCAAGTAAGCTTTTGAGAAAGTTCCATTTATGATTTGGTAGCTTACTAGCCAAATTCACAGTGGAGTGGAAAGGTGGGTAAGATGATGCTGATGCAGCAAAAATCTAATGATATTGTCTGGAAGTGACCTCAATTGGGAGCTCAGTTGCCTTGCATTGCAATTTTGGCCTCGTAGTTTCTTTCAACTGCCTAAAAATTATTGAATTCATATTCTTCTATTATGAATTCTATCCTACTTCTATTATGAATTGTATCCTAACTAATGTCTCTATGTATGAGCTAATAAAATTCAGGAGTAGATTGAATGTATTCCAACATTTTTTTGACTCAAGAAAATTTTATCTCGAGTGTATTGCGCTTTGCTATTTTTTATTTTTATTTTTTTGAGGTTTTTTTATGAAATTGGGCTTAATTTTTGTTGCTTAATATTATTTGTTGTGTGGAGGCAAGTTGTCTGAGTCCTGAGATGGTTTGTGATGTCTCCAACTGGTCTGTTTAGAATTTCAGTTATCTTGTTAACATATGAATCATTCACATGAATTGCCTACATTTCACATTTTTATTGAAAATTGGTGGCTGCTTATGTATGGGACAATAAGGAATAATTCAGTGGATTTTGGTATACTTTACCTCAGAGGGGCATCCACCTCCTGTTCTCAACGATGGATGGTGGATACCAATTGTTGTGGCGTTCATTTGGACATTCAACCAGCTGCAGATCATCTGCACCATCCATTGTAGAGAGGGGACTGTGGATGCCCGTTTGGATTATACTGTGCTATTTTCCATTGGATTAGTGCGTACTTTGCCTTTAAATATTTACTAGTAATAATTCTGTAATTATGAAGAGTCAGTGTATCATAAGTGGTGTAATTAATCTGAGGGTACAGGTTATAATATTTCTTTGCCTCATGGTTCTTTTCGATCTCGTACACCAAAGTTGGCGGCCATAGTTGGTGATACAACTGCTGCACCAGAAGATTGTGAAGAGCATCCAGTTCCATCTAGTGATACATCCACTGCAAAGAGTCCTTGTACCATAGAGAACTCTGCAAAAGATCAAGAAGTTGGGTCTGTTAGCAAAGAAGATTGGGTTGGCTTAGAGGATCATAAGATGATTAGAGTTTGTGATAAATTGATAGACGTTTTTATGGTTGATAAGCCCACAACAACTGACTGGAGGAGGTTAATAGCTTTTAGCAAGGAGTGGAGTAACATTAGACCCCATTTTTATAGGCGTTGTCAGGCTCGAGCAGATGCTGAGGTTGATCCTGGAACAAAGCACAAATTACTTAGGCTTGGAAGGAAATTGAAAGAGGTAATTGTATATCTAACTTCTAGTTATGTCTTTTTATGTGGCCTTATTCATCAATTTGCTTCTCTGACACCGTCATGTACTTGCTAACAGAATTCTGTCTTTTTATATGGCCTTATTCATCAATTTGCTTCTCTGACACCGTCATGTACTTGCTAACAGAATAAACTATTATATAGAAAAGTATACTATTCCAATGGACTCTGGAAAACCATAGTCCATTGACGTCATGATCCTTCCATTCTCTCGGACTCATCAAGATCCTGAGTTCGACTATTTCTCCTAGAGAATAGGCCAAGTCGATGGTCCTACTCGGCCAATTCTTTAGGAGCAGAGGTTGTGGAACTCAGTTAGACTCACCCTAGTTTCAGTGATTTTCATCTGGACCGGGCACCCTGCATGGTCCGAGTGACTCGGGCAAGTCCAAGCCTGAACCACCGAACTTGTTTAGCCCTTATGTTGTCGGATATCTTTATTTCATTGTTTATGTTGTTATTTGCATGTGATTGCTTTTTGTTAGGATACTATTTACATGTCTTAGGAGTGTAATTGTGAATGCATGTTGCCAACAGCGCTATTATGGTTTGAGAGAATTGCCTGATTGTTACATGTATTTTGGAATATGCCTACAGATTGATGATGATGTGCAAAGGCATGATGAGCTTTTGGGAATGATTAGACAAAATCCATCAGAGATAAATGCTGTCGTTGCTAGGCGTCGCAAAGATTTTACGAAGGAATTTTTTGAGCATCTTCATACTGTAGCAGAATCATATTATGACAATCCTGATGAACAAAGTGGTATGATCGTGATTACCAATGTGTTAGACTGAATAAATGTTGTTTAGTAGGTAAAAAAAAAAAATATTGATATTGAATGCATCAAAGTTTTCTTGGGAACTATAAAAAAGGGTACCCTTGGAAGTCTCATGGAAATGGTCCCTTAGAAATCCCTTTCCCAGTGTCTTGATTCATCCTTAACCTCGTGTCTGACCAGGCCTCAAGGAACTATGGATCTGTACCTGATGACTAGAAAGTGGTAAGCTTAGATATCATTGTTTTGCTTCTTCTAGTTCCTGAGAAAACGGAAAATTTGGCTGATATTCTTGTTGCGCAACGTGTGATAGGGAAAAACTGTTTGTTGAAGTTTAATCTTGGATAAATCATGAAATGTGAGTTCTTTTATTGGTCAGCAGGAGCTGTAAATCTTTAATGCGGGTCACTTGGTTTCTTGACTTCATTTTTCCAAAGTAAAATTTATGTTGGTGGCTTCTTGTGTTAAAATGCTTCTTCTCCACACTTTCAGGGAATGGAATTGAATTCTCATTGAGGGGCTTCTGCCTCTTGAATTGCCTCTTTAAGCACGTGAATATAGGGAACCTATGTAACAACACATGTTTCATGTGCATTTAAGAGAATCCAATACGCCAACTCATTGGGCATGTTTGTTGACCTGCATGTCTGGAAACTTTCATATTTTGGGTTCACAGTCAAGACGTGTCTTCTGTGTGGAGGTATGAGTCCACGGATTAGACACGTGAACTAGACAAACAAGACACGTTTGTCTGTTTTGTAAGACAGTTTCCACATTGTAAGATAGGTGTCTGCATTTTGTAAGAAATGCATTGATGCATGTGTCTTATAATGTGTGCTTTTGATTTGGACCCACATGTATTTGCACAGTTCAGGCTTGTATGGGTCGGTCATTCTAAATTTGGCAAAATCTAGGAAGGTCAATTGGATTATTTGAATTTGATCCAGACATGGATTCTCTTATCCATTTCCTGTTAACATTTAGGTTAGTAAAATCCATCTTTAGCACATGTCTTGGGTATTGTGTGTCATATCAAGCTGGTAATCTTAAATCTGTGCAATGCATGGTGGTGGGATACAATTTTTGGAACTTAGGAGCTGTGCCCCATGACTCCCATCTAGTTGTCATATGCAAAAACAATTCTGCCATCACATCCATTGGTTGATCAAGATAAGTGTAGTTGAAGTATACGCTATTTTATCTGCATAAATGAAAGAGAACGTATTGTATGCTCTCACAGGAGCATACTGTAGTAACTGTACAATAACTCTCGCGTGCAAAGCAGCAGCTTGGGAGGATTATTTTGGTTCAAAATTTTCGGATCCACCTAAGTATCACTAGATGATTATTTTTAAATAAAAAAAAATTTGAATTTTGAATTTTGAATTCATGAACATTTAGATCTTACACTCCGAAAGTTGGTTCTAGAGAATACATCCGCAAAATTTGGGATTAATAGATATTCCTTGCATGAGTTTTACCTGAGGGAGTAGATGAACAGTATATACTCTCATGGTAGTATGAAATCTTTAGCTAAATTAAAAGTGCTTCCTATTTTATTGAATTTTTAAATCTTAGATGGTACTTATAAAATGTTGTCTTATTTTTATTTTTGATGGCTTTACCATAACATGCCACCATTTCTGCCATATTATTTGGTAAATGATTTTTGGACATTCGCTACTTCACTAGTTTACGTGTAGTTGACAGCAATCCTATTATTTGGTCCATTTCATGTATTAGATGCTAAATACTCGTTCGGGTAATAAAGCATCAGTATGATTTTTTTTCTTATTTTCTTTTTGGTACTCCTTAATTTGGAAAATACTAACAAGATACTGTTTTGGCACGGTGAATTAGCTCTGGCAAAGCTGGGAGATACATGCTTGGCTGCAGTACAAGCATATGATACTGCTTCTGAAAGCATTGAGGCTCTGAATGCTGCTGAGTTGAAGTTCAATGATATAATAAACTCCCCATCATTAGAAGTGGCATGTGGAAAGATAGATGCTTTGGCAGAGAAGAAGCAACTTGACTCAGCATTGATGTTGATGCTCACCAAAGCCTGGTCTGCTGCCAAAGAGTCGACCATGATGAAAGATGAGGTATGCTGAACGGTGAAATGCATATTCTGAGCGAAATTAGTTTCTTCGAAATGGAAATGTTTAAACCCAAATGTATTCATAGCTGGGATTTTTTATATGGGGGGTCATAAAGTTTCATTGATTGTTCCCTGCTTTCATTGCTTTTGAGGGTGTCTTAATGTATACCTTAAGTTATAACATATATGTAGTGCTGTTTAGAAATTCAAGACTACTAACTAATGTTTGAGATCCGTGTTTAGCATTGTTTTTGTCTATTGGTTTGACTCATGATTGAAGCATATCATAAATAGGGATGTGATCCCAGTGAAAATTTTAAGCTGTTCCTTTTGCTTTTTGATAGGGAAGAATTACGTAAGGTAAGGTAGGCCCGGCTTGTTGGTTCCTATGCCTGTATAGTCTGTAGTTTTCTGAGTGTTGGATTTGGCAGGTCTAAAGCTTGAACAACTCTCATACACATGGATCTCTGTATTTCCTAATTATTGTAAATGTTGGTCATTTTTGTTGATTGAGAATAATAGATGTGATCATGGTGGATTTCTAACAAGTATGGGTGTCATTCCCCCCCCCTGTCTGGAAAATGAAATTGGCTGTTAATCTGACATCTCAATGTTGACCATTGTACTCCTGACTTCTGTGAGGATGCACTGAAATTATGAACCATTCTTCACGTGCATACAGACACACCCCCCCCATGCACCTCTGTGTGCGTGTTTGTGCACGAGCGTGCATATTTGCACACACACTCACATGCATATGCATGCGCACATATGTGAGCACATTTCTATTCTTCATTTAGCTTTTGAAAATAACTTTGTTCTGCCATTTTTATTTTAACTTTGGCCAAGTTCCTGATAAAAGTTGTTCGACACTGTTTTTTAGTTATAAAACTTCACTCATAGGAGTTCAGGAGCTTCATTGATGCTTTGATCTTTCAACCTAGGATCAATGATACCCCAGATGCCCCATATTTTCTCTGGTGTCACATATGCACATGTCAGCACTTCCACATGTGGGGCATTAATAAATTTCTATAAAAACTTCAAGGTGGAGTTCATCCCTTGAAATGTAATGGTATGGTGTAGTGCTTCAGCGCTCATACCATATAAAGGATGGAATTTAGATTAAATACACTATATAAAGATACATGGGCGTTAGTTAAAACACAAAACTTCAAATCTGAGTTCAAACTCAAGACCTCTTGAAGAGTTGCGGTACTCCCTACTGCTCCACCAGTCACACACTGTGAGATTGAAATTTTTGTTATGTTCATATTATCTAATGTAAAATAATAGTTGTATGGATTGGTCTTGCCGTATTGGTTTTTTGGGCTAAAGTACCTGCGCATGTGTTGGACGTTGAATCTTGGGTTGGTGCCCATGTAAAACTACCTAAAGTATCTTGCTTTGTTGCCAAAACTGTGAGAAAATTTGATAGTTTATTTTGTGCCATCTGGAACAGCAGGATGGGAACATGCTTTTAGGAAAAAATAAATAATTAGCATCATTAGATTGTTTTTCTTTCATTTTTTTTGGATTCTGTTAACTGCATCATTAGATTGTGTTCCTTGATCATAATCATTAATTTCTCTTACATTGTGCAGGCAAAAGATGTAATGTATCACTTGTACATGACTGCAAGAGGAAACCTTCAGAGGCTTATGCCTAAGGAGATAAGGATAATTAAGTACCTTCTTACTATTGAGGATCCCAAGCAACGGCTCTCTGCTCTTCAAGACGCATTTACTTCTGGAGAAGAGCTTGAAGGAAAGGATGTTGACTCTTTGTATACGTAAGTTGTTTGTAGACAATGATGTATTTTCCTCTTATCTTTCCTTCTTGCTTTTATTTTAGAGAATGCATACCTGGCACAGCCTGTTTATGGTATATGTTGACAGCTGGGGCATCTATCATCCATTATCATTGATGGAAGGTGGAGATTAGTCATATCAGGGTGAATGTCTATCCTTGGGAACTGCAGTTAATCACTACCATCATTGAGACCAGATGATGGATTCCCCAGTGTCCCACTGTACTATGCTATATGAAGGCTAAGTAATATACTTCATGAAATGTTTATTCTCATGTGTTTGTGGATTCGTCTTCGTTTTTGTAAGAACGTGCAAAGCGATGATTTTTTTTGAGAAAGTTAACCTGGAATTAAAGAATATGTGTACAAGAAGCTAGGCAAACCACAGGTGGATGCACAAGGGGGAAAGAAAAAAAAAAGAACAGAATCAGAAGGCCTTCCTTTTGAAGGCTACATTCGAAAGAGCAACCCAAAACAAGATGCCGATCCAAAAAGTCATACTAGTTTTCTGCCATAGATGCCACTGTTTTAGCGAGGGTGTCGGCTTCCTGGTTTCCTTCCCTCCAGATATCCCTCCAAGAGATGTGCAAGTCCCTACAAAGGAATTCACTCTCATCAAAAAACTGAGCCAGGAACCTGGGAGGTGGGGTGGAAGAGGGCGTCTGCACCCAAGAGATGTCATTCTTGGAATCTCCCTCAATAGTAATAGAGAGGAAGGTTAGGGATTGAGCTAGCTTGAGTCCTTCCAACAGTGCAACTGTTTCAGCCTCCAAAGAATAAGCATGACCCAGGATTTCTGAGGGAACACCTGTCAAACTTGAGCGTAAGATGTCCGAGTGGAGGGGGTCTCCACAAGGATGCCCGAGATAAGCGGTTGTAGCTGTATTGAAGAACAGCAGTCCAATTTTGGACAAAGGCCGAAGTAGATAACCCTTTGAATCTGTGGTGATTGGATGCCCAGGAAACCACCATGGATTTAAACTTGGCGAAGGTCTTGTACCACAAAGACCACTCCCCTCAAAAGAATATATTAGTACGTTCAATCCAAATTGCCCACAGCAAGGCTGCCACCGAAGATTTCCAGAGTAAAATCCCAGCCTTAGGCAAAGGAAAAGGTTGCAGGGTAGTGAAAGAGGAAGGTACATCCGCAGGGAGTACCCATTGTATATTGAAGAGGTTAAGTAGTTCCCCCCACAGATAGAAGGCGTAGGGACAGTGCAGGAACACATGGGCATTGGTTTCCTCATCTGCCAAACATAAAACGCATCAGTTAGGAAGAGGAAGGCCTTTTCTTTTGTAGCTGGTCAACTGTGAGCACCCTCTGGGAAAGGACCAGCCACATGAAGACCTGAATTTTCAGGGGCGCAAAGGAGGCCCAAGCTTGCGCAACAACAGAAGTTGGATTGGCAGATAAGGTTGGGGCTGCAATAAATTCCGGTCGAAAGAGGAAACCAAGAAAGTCCTGGATGGCGATGGAGCCCAAATAATACGGTCAGGCTCGAGGGTGGCGATGAACCAATCAGATAGTTTAGCTGCAAGGGCAGCAAAGAGGAATTTCTGGTTCGATAAGAGCCTTCTGAAGACTGGACTCCAGGATCTCCGGGAACCTGTCATGGTCATCTCATCCGCAACAGTTGCATCTTGATTCCAGGCAAGAGAAAAGAGACTTGGGAATCTGTCCATTAGAGGAGGATGCCCAAGCCACAGATCCTACCAAAAAAGGATATGGTTGCCGGCTCTTGGGTGGAATCTGATGCGATCTTTAAACTGCTGGTAGACCGAGCAGATCGATATCCAAATCCCAGATGACCTGTGATTAGGTCTACAACTGGGAAGCCAAGACAAAGTAGGTAGGCGATATTTAAACTTGAGAATGTCAATTCATAGGTGGTTCCTGAGTGTGAGCAATCTCAACCACCACTTTCCTAGCAGAGCTAGGTTTTGCCGTTTTGAGCTTTTAATCCCCAGCCCTCCCAAATTCTTATGTTGACAAAGTTTCTCCCAAGCTATAAGATGGAACTTATGAGTGGTGGCCTCACCCACCCAGAAAAATCTACGCATCAACTGTTGGATCCTTAAACTGATCGAAACGGGCATGTGGAATAACGACATCTAGTAGACCGGGATATTAGCTAAGGTGGCTTTGATAAGAGTAAGCCTACCCCCCGGAGATAAAAAACGGCCTTTCCACCCAGCTAATTTGCGGTCTACCTCGTCGATAATGTGTGACAACGACCTCTTTTTTGGGTTTCCCTAAGCAAAGAGGTAAGCCTAGGTAAATAGATGGTAAGTCTTCTACCCCACAGCCCCAGCTTTCAGTGAACCTACTGAGTATGGTGGGATCAACTGCTATCCCCATCATTTTAGATTTGTCGAAATCGACTTTGAACCCAGTGGCATATTCGAAAGACCTGAGAAACACAAAGAGGTTATGTATCGCTTCGGGTAGGGCATTACAAAGGTGAGTGATCGTAGGGCCTTGGTTCCCAATCGAAAAACCCTGAAAACGCCTGGTTGCATATGATCGTAGAGATCGATTGACTGAACTTCTGCCGAGATAGCAAAAAGAAAGAGGGACAAAGGGTCCCCTTGTCTGAGGCCCCTAGAGGAGGGGAAGAATCCTTTAGGGGATCCATTGATTAGGATTGAGAAGTAAAGGGTAGAGTAGCAAGCTCACATCCAAGCTCTCCACCTGCTACCAAAGCCCATTCTGGATTGAGTTTCTTCAAGTAAATCTCAGTCAACGTAATCATACGCCTTCTCCCAAGCAAGTTTAGCAATAATCCCAGGTTCTTAGGTCAAGTGCCTAGAATGTAAGCATTCGTGAGCCACAAGGGCCCCATCCAGTATCTGGCGGTCTCTAATGAAAGCACTTTGAGATGGAGAAATGACCAAAGGGAGGACCTCTTTGAGCCGAGAGGCCAAGACTTTGGAAATAATTTTATAGGTAGAATTGAGTAGGCTAATAGGGCAAAAAATCTTTGAGCTGGGATGCACCTTCAATCTTAGGAATCAACGTGATGAACGTGGCGTTCAGAGCTCCGTGGATTACCCCTCCGGAGTGGAATTCTTCAAAGAGAGCCTTTCTGTGCTTTTGCAGTCGGTTTCAATTTTTCTGAAACTCACAGGATCATGAGTTTTCTGAAACTTCACAGGATCATGAGTGCTGGATTTCCATGCAAATCTACTGTGTTATTACTATCTCGTGCGCTCAAAATCAAATTACTCCAGAAATAAAAGGATCATAAGTAGTTTTGGTGGGAAATTAGAGTTGAGCAACTAGTAGTCTCGTTGATTTGATTCCATAACAAATATACCTGTTTTTTAGGGTTTACTTTGGTAATCACACTAACCTATCTCTTTGTTTGCAGAACTCCAGAAAGACTATTCACATGGGTACAAACTGTCCTGGATGCCTACCGCTTCAGCAGAGAAGGCACACTCATCAGAGAGGCCAGGGATTTGATGAGCCCAAAAATCATTCAGAAGCTAGAGGAACTCAAGAAAGTTCTCCAAAACAATTTCATGTAACAAACAGTTGATTGTTCATCATCTATTATCTCCCTCCATGGAGGCTAGCTCTTAGACCCTACACATGGCAAACCGAGGTCCTAAGCCGAAATTGAAAACTAAACTTCTGGCTTTAAAAAATGCTAGGCCCTGAACCTTTTAAAGCAAACTCCAAACAGATAAATCCTAGAAGCTGTGGAACGTAAATTTTGGCTCCTGAAAGCCCATGAATTGAAACTTAAATGAAGAAGTTTGAAACCTGGAGTTCCCTGAACCATGAAGCAGCTTTTGTTGAATAGATTTTGTGTTTATTATGTACCTCAAGTATGAAGCAGCTTTTGCATAATATTTTGTTCTGTAAATTGTGTAAATGCGAGGAGAATCAGTTACAGATTCTTTTGATGTGGAAGGATAATTTTGTTATCATGCTGAGAGATTATACAGTATGTGCATGTAATGATTCATCGATGTTCTGTAGTCTCTCAAGGGAGAGGTTCATTTTCCTTCAAGACTTTGGAGATTGCTAGGACAGTTTAAACACTTTTAATGGAGAAACAAGCTCCCTGGAATCATTATTTACGAATACCATAGTCTTTTTGAAACGTAAGTTTCATTGAGATGGTAAGTTTCATTGAGATGGTGAAGTATATCATCATCATTGTCAGAGCTTTTTTCCAACTAATTGGGGTAAGCTACATGATTTCTAGCCTGTCATTCTATTTCATTGAAGGTCACATTTTGCTCTATTAAAGATCATAATGAATAAATACAACTTAACAAAAAAAAAAGAGAAAAAGAAAAGAAGGAATGAAAGAGGGTGGAGGAAGAGAGAGAAGCAACAAGAGGTCGATGGAGAGATTTTAAGATTCAGAATTCTTTCTTCATTATTTACAAATGAATGGAAAATGGTTTGATGGAGCCGCAGTCCTATCAAAATAAGTAAAGCTTCACCTCATAACTCATAAAAAATTACAATTCAAGCATTAAAAAACTTTTACATCGATCATCTTGGTTTGAGCGTAATGGGTGTGAAAAAAAAAAAGATTTCAAGCTTTAAAAATAGTGATATTGTAACAAATTATTTAGGTTGTTCATCTTGCAATAAAAAGAAGTGCTTATAGATCCGCAAGATATGTAACATGGATACATGAATTTGGATCCCCAAAAACAGTGTAGATCTATAATTCTTAAAGAACTACATCAAACAATCCAAAAAGAAATTTTTTAAAAAAAGAGATGATTTTTAATGCTCAAATTTATTTCTGCCACCCCCAGCCCCACCCCCTGGAGATCATGTCTAGAAAGTTGAGTCAACATGGGTATCTATAATGTTCCCTATAAAAGAAGTTTTTGACATATAAAAATTGCCCAAATATACAAATGTGTTCTAAGACACGGCACAAGCAATTGGGATGGCATTCCCAAAATGTTGGTTAACCGCCTCCAGCCAAAGTCCCCATCGAATAAATGCCAAAACCTGAAATATCAAATTCTAAATTTAAGCTCAATTATAGGTACATCTGGTTAGATCCCCAATAAAGGCACGCAAAGTCAAATAAATAAGAGCGCATGTATAGTACAAAACCACTTTAGCCCCAAATTTTTTTTCATGTCCTAAAGTTAGGCCGTTATTCTCGGCAAAACATGATTATTGTTTGAACCCCCAAATCACATGGGAATCCTCTAAGACAAATGCCTGCAAATTCTCCAGTCACCTAACAAGCATTATGTCCTAAATGTGATCTTCTCTAAGAATAAACTGTTTTTATGTTTTATTTTTCAAAAGAATTACAATACCCTATTGCACGTTGGTGGAAAGAAGCCATGGTTCCCTCCCTTGAGGTTAGGGTGGCTTCCGCCATGGTTCCCTCCCTGGAAGTTAGGGTGGTTAATGGGTTTGGGCTGGCTTGTGGGCTTTCATGCTGGGCCAAGTTTCAGACTAGATTCGAGCTGTCAAGGCTAGTGGGCTAGGCCCGGTAGGACTGAAATATTATTGGAATTGTATATACATATTTTTATAGGTCACGCTTGGCCCTGCCTGATTGTTTCAAACGGGGGCCTAGCACTAGTCTTGTTATCGAATTAAGATCAATGTTCTAAAACCTTGCGATTTCTAATCTGGATCTCGCCGGTCTGGATGGGAATTGGTCAAGACAGAATCAGGGATGGTATGGATCTTGGCTCGTTCCTAAAACCCGTATTTCTTATTTTATTTTCTCTTTTTGTTAAAGCTTATCTAATATTTTTTTAGATCATCTCGTAATCCCCATTCCGTAAACCTCTATTTATTTCTCTATATTTCTTAGTTCACCAATACATAACAATCCAGACTTGATCCAAAACACCGATCCGACTGTCTGAGTTTAAAACACTGATCCAAACCAAGATAGGCAGAGAGTAAATATTCCCAACTCAGGTCTGCTCTATGCCATTTTGGCCGGGCTCAGGCCAGGTTGGGTGCAACCCGGCCGTTCAACAAACCTACCACTGGTGCCAATTCTTTTGCCCCTCCTTGAAATGGTTTCTCCTAAGTGTCATTCTTATCCTCTATCTTATCTTTATTTAAGACTTAAAAGTCTCTCTACAGTCTTCTAGAAACTTTTAATAATAAAAACACGGTGGGCGGTGCCTAGGACTTCAAGACATGGGCGTTGCTCGTACTTGGCACACACGCAAGCCGCCGTTTACGGCTTCCTAGAAAATAAATAAAAGAAAAGAAAATTATAAAGAGGCCGCTTGTCATGGGTTTCAATAATACCCCCACTTGCTCCGAAATAACACAAACGCCCCTCTGTTGCTCCTTAGGGGAGGCATCGAGGGTTTTTGGGTGATTTTATAAAAAAATAAAAAATAAAAAATAAAAATAAATAAAAAGTATGGTTTTGTATAGAGCTTAGGCTCTAAACAATCAAATTAGAGCCTACTTTTAAATAGTGTCAAGAAATGTGGTTTCAACACTGAAAGTCTTTATGATAGCCTTAAAATATATTTTCATTTTTATTTATAAAGTTTAAAGCTTAAAAAATAGTGTAGATCGACAGATCTATAAAAACTTGAAAACCTTAAAAACTGACAATACAAAAATACAATACAAAATATACTATGTCAAAAACTTGAAATCAATTTTTTTATCATGTCCATGCATCTTGATGTCGAGATGATCAATTTGAGGACTTTTGGGCATCAAAACAATCTCGTCGAGTGAAATTTTTGATGTAGGCTCGAATATGTGATCGTTTAGAGCATCGGCTCTATATAAACTTTTCCCAAAAGTGAAAGTATTGTAAATTGATCTAAGAGAGATGCCCGAACGTTTTCATTGATTCGTATGGTATGCTCTTGTGGGGGAATACTCCCATCTATGTTGCATAGAAATGGAGATATGTGGCTATTTATGATACGGGTACAAGCGTTAGAAACGTAAATCCAATAAAAAATAACATTTGGAATTTATGTGTAATTTAGATTTGTACTTATGTATTCAACAATTCATATCCCATAACAATAGTAAAGCATAAGTAAAAAATTTAAATTAAATTATTAATCGTAAAATGTTAATTTGTGAATCAAAATATTAGTCATCGAAAATTTCTTATAGTCTAATTCAAGGTAGTGTCTTAGAAACATGGAAAAAAAGGCTAAAAATTATCAGTTAATTATTAATTCAAAGTATAGCACCCTTATTACATAGCTATTGAATAGGCTCCTAATATAATCACTCCACTCATACTATCAATGGAAATAAAAAATATTTTTATTTTTACTCCAAACTTCTTCTATTATTCTCAAATAAATATATATTTTTTTTAAATACTATTCATTGAAGAATGACATTTCTAAATAAAGAAATAGAAAATTCCAAAAATAAAATGCGTTAGAAAAAAAGGACACTCTATAAGACACTTCATAGAAAATGCAGTATGCATTTCTAACAGTACCAACAAGCATGTTGATGTCCACCAAGTGTCGATATATGATCAGAACCAGACCCTCGAAAATTTGTGCCCTTGTCTTATAATCTATAATCATTCTCTTCAGTCAAACGAACAATTTGGGAGGGCTTTTTTAATGGACAAGTATACATCAAGGCCAATTATGTTTTAGTACATGGACATACAATTATCTTGACCAATGGATGTAAAATGTATTTGATTGGCTCAAAGTTCAATAAAAAACCTTTTGAGCTTTGTGATACGTTCAAATTGTAAAATTTTACATATGATGGTTCTAAGTACCTAACATGGTTTTAAATAAGTGGGACCTCATTGTATTAATGTTAAATGAAAAATATACAAAGTGATTATTCATTTTTAGTACAAGGAGGTCATAAATCACTATTGTCCATTAGATCTCAAAATCTAATGGTTGTGCGTGTATATTTGATTAGACTAAAAAATCCAAAGAAAAATTTCTTAAGCTTCAAGACATACCTCAAACTATCCGATTGGACATCTAATGGCTTAGAGTAATTGTGATGGTCTCAAAGTATACAATCTCAAAGTTAAATGGCCTTGTAGTATACAATCTCTTTTGTTTATTGAAAATTTTGGGATGGACTTTAGATATATATTTTTTTAAAAAATAAATTTTGAATTTTGAGTTCTTCAACTGGACTTTGGGAAAGTTATTCTTTTCGTGCATATAAAGAGTGGGATTTAAATTTGTTTATGGGTGTGGTTTGTATAGAGCCGAGGCTCTAAAGAAGTAAATTGGAGCCCACCTTCAAATAGTATTGAGAAATATGGTTTCTATATTGTAAATTTTTGTGATACCTTCAAAATATATTTTTGTATTTAATTATAAATACCTTAAAAAATGACGTAGATCGAGCAGATCTACAAAAACTTGAAAATTGACTATCAAAAAATACGTTACAATATGTACTATGACCAAAACTTGAAATCCATTTTTTTCTTATGTCCATGCATCTTGATGTCTAAATGATGATATTTGGGGATCTAAACAACCTCTTCCAATAAATTTTTTGAGATAAACCCTAATTTGATTATTTAGAGCCTAAGCTCTATATAAACTTTTTCCTTTAAATTTTGATGTTTGTTTCAAGATAACATATTTTCAAGATTTTTCGGTCTTCAAATTTTGGAACTTTGCTCGGAGGATAAGGTTTGTGGTTATTTCCCATTATTTATTTATTTCATCTTTAAAATGGAGGGGCATTTTAGGTATTTTAGGACATTGTAGGTGTTTTAGTTATTTCGAATCAAGTTACCTGCTCCCAAAAAACAAGTGGGCCCACTCGCATGTTCCCCTATAAACCCGAAATGGATAAACCGTCCCCTTCCATTGCGATTTTAGGAGAAATTTCCACCGTCCATTTCTGGGTTCCAACGTGATAGACGTGGTTAAAATTTGACACGTGTAAAGACCATTCCGTACATGTTTTGCCCGCTGTAATCCAGACAACGGATTCTGTCCATTGTACCGAGATAGTTGGCCATTTTTTATTG